ACGGTGGTTGAGTTTGTTTTGCTGTGTCTAATTGGTGATAACAGCAGATAGATTTATTCATGTCTATGGTAATCATTGATTGCTAATTAGAGATATTCTGCCAGCGATATAATTCAAAACTCTGACCACTTTAAATCAGAAGCTATCTTATCCCTTGCAACTATTTTAGGCAGAAAAGACGAAAATATATTTTTACATTTTGCACTCTTTTTTTAAAGAAAAAGTCCAACTTATTAAGAAAGGTGTTATGATTCTTGTTTTAATTTTTGGCCACTTGGACAGACTAAACAGACTTTCTCAAGGTCAAGGGTGATTCTGAGTACCTAGAATAAGCAGCCTCTTCAGGGATGGCAGTAGGTCCATTATGGTACCCGTTGGTCCTTGAGCTCTGTCTAAGGCAGATAGTGAGCAAGGCACAGAAGGTGATGTAACAGGTAGGGATGTTAGAAGAGGGTAGGGTTCCAAGAGAGCTCAGGTTCAAGATCTTCTTGAACAAGTTATTTCATTTTTCTGAGACTCAGTTTTTTCTGTCTGTGAAGCAGGATGGCAAATGATAGTAACTTCTTGTTAAGATTTTTGTTATTTCATTTACTCTGTCCTGCTCCCACACGCACACAAACCTTTTAGGATGTTGTTAGGAAGATGAGTTTGTATAATTGAAGAATAGAAGCTCACTGAAGATGATGATGTCTTTGGCTATCATTTCAAAGCACTAAGTGGATTTAACCCTTCCTTAACGTCAAGACCACAGGCAGCTTTTCTTTTTCCCTATTAAAAATTGCCTTAAGTGGTGATGGTGTCTTAGACAGTATGACCATAAATTCAAACCATGGTTTTATGACAGGGGATGCTGTAAGAGGAATTGATTTTGAAAGTGAATACAGTACTAAACATTTTTCCAATTTGCTTTCTACTTTTATTTAATAAAAATAAACAGTTTTGTTCCTTTATTTACAATGATCCATCCTAGCCCTATTCATTTGCTTAAAAAGAAAATAGTTTCCTTACAGAAAAAGCATCAAACATTTAAGAAAAAATTTAGTCAGAAGAAGTGTGAGATGGTTTCTGACAAATGGGAGACTAGCTGGGAGTGGTGGTTCATTTTTATAATTCTAGATGCTGGGGAGGCAGAGATCAGGAGGCTTGAGGTTCAAGACCAGCCAGGGCAAAAAAGTTTCTGAGACCCAACCTCAAAAGGGTGTATAGTAGGGTCATTCCAGCTATGAGGGTCAAGCATGATGAGACTCTATCTGAAAAATAGCTATAGCAAAAAGGGCAGGGGACCTGCCTTAGCAAATACAAGGTCCCAAGTGCAAACCTCAGAACCATCAAAAAAAAAAAATAAACTAAAGATGAGCATGATATGCTCTTTTAAAAAATTTTTTTTTGGCAGTGCTGAGGTTTGAACTCAGGGCCTCATGCTTGCTAGGCAGGCACTCCACCACTTGAGCCACTCTGCCAGCCCTTAATCCTGATAATTCTTTGTGATACATACATAGGATATAGTGGGTTTATTGAAAGGGTGATGACATATAATGCAGAGATAGGGATGAAGACAGTTATACTTAATTAAAACTAAAATTAAATAAGCTAATGACTGATAAGCTACTATATATTTAGTTTTAAGGTCTTGATTTCCCTGAAACAATGGACTTCTATAACTTTTGGACTTTGAGATGGAACCTTGCAAAAATCAAGTCTGCTGACTATTGAATACTAGGCGTATTTCTTGTTCCTAGTTTGCTGATTGGGGGAGGTGGAACTTACTTAATAGAAACTTGTGAAGTTAAAGAATTAGAAGATGTTATGCACTGAATAATTCTGTCTTCCCAAAATTCATATGTTGAAATCCAATCCCTGAGGTGATGTTGTTAGGAGGTGGTGACTTTGGGAAGTAATTAGGTCATAAGGGTGGAGCCCTCGTGGTGAGATGAGTGCTCTTACAAGAGAGGTAGGTACACAAAATGTTTCTTTGTCACATGAAGATACAAGAAGTCGACAGCTTATCAACTGGGAGGAGAGTGGATCTGCTGGTGCCTTGATTTTGGACTTTCCACCCTCCACAACTGTGAGAGACAGACATTTTTATTTAAGTATTCAGCCAGCAGTAATTTGTTGTAGTAGTCTGACATGCTCAACACAGCACAGTGCCTGTAGTTCTCTTAGTTGTTTAAATTCCGCCACTAGAATTGGAACCCAGGCCCTTCCATTTTTTGTGTGACCATGGGCTAATTAGTCAGCTTCTCTGAGAAGTAGATTGAACCAACCAGTAACTTATTATTATTAATTATTAGTAGTAGTAGCAGTACTAGAACATACTTGCTAGGCAGGTGCTCTACCACTCAAGCCCTGCCCCAGCCCATTTTTCTTTTAGTTATTTTTCAGGGAGGATCTCATGTGTTTAGCAAAGACTGGCCTCAGACAGTGATTCTCCTGTTTAGGCCTCCCACATAGCTGGAATTACAAGCGTATGCCACCACAATAAGAAGGTTGAGATGGGAATCTCACTAACTTTTTGCCTGGCTTGGTCTTGAACCTTGATCCTCTTGATTTCTGTCCTCCCCAGTAGCTGGGATTACAGATGTGCCTCACCATACCTGGAGTTTAGTTATTTTTTACCTGCAATGTATTCTTTACTTGAATCCATCCAGTGGTATGAGGCAGCTAGCTAGCCTGGGCTTTGTGGGAGCTCAGATTTCATATTAACAAGTATCAAGGTAGGTCTAACTTGAATTTTTCTTTTCATATCATTACTTTTCAAACAATGGCTTCATTCAGGTAAAGGTTTGTTTTCCTAAAATGCAGGAATTTGTGGTACATGTGCTGTTTTACCATTCTGTTTGCAAGCAAGAAAAAATTCACTCAGTTAACTTAAATGATAAGGAAATTCTATTGGATAAAAAAGGACATTTTAAGAAAGTGAAGCATATCTGTGTCCCATGAAACAGTGGGATGTGGGATGTGGGTTGATTTATACCCATATCTACAGGTCTGGGGATTGAGCCTCTGATCTTCCAATCTTGTCTCGTTTTGTTTCAAAGGTGTGTTTTCTGGTCTCTGCTTTTGTCTTTATCTGTTCCATTCTTCCCCACCTCCCTGATGAGTAGCTTTCTCTGCTTACCCATTACAACCTCTACATCCTGAAATATCATTCTAGTCTCCATATACATATGTATCTGCCACAAATATGGCCTCCTTTCTGTCTTGAATGTGTTTAAACTACTGAGAAAGAACTGCTTGGCTCACTCCAGCTTGTGGATCTGTCTTTGACCCAGATGTCCACTGCCTGGTCCTTCAGTAGGGTCACAAGGATAAGGTCCTGTAATACAGTCGGATGTCCATGCTTTCTGTGAGGCTTGTTAGTGGGGGCCATAGTTTAGATGGCTACTCCAAAACAAATTTTAGCTAAAATGGTATGCTCTCTTATTGGAATAACCGAAGTCCTATTTCTCCTCAGAACACATTACTGGATTAATGTATTACATTTCTTTCTATATTTAGCAACGTATCCAACTAGGAGAAAAATAGCTAATCCTGTATATTCTTTCCAACAAATCAAATTATTAAATCATTTACTTGATCGTTATCACATATAGGAAACGTTTTTCTTTATTGTTTTAAAAAATGCCTTTTATATTTCTAGTATTACAAAGTAGCCTAATTAACTGAAAAACGATGTAATCAGGTCTTTGAAAATCCATAAAGAAAAACACAGTAAGCATGCTAACCCAAGAAATAAAGTATAAATTAATAATACAGAGCAACGGGAAACATAGCTAATAAACATTGTTTGTTCAAAAATAGAAATTTCATGTCTCTAGCCCTAACAAGTCACTTCTCAAACAATAGTGCTTTCTGGCTGATAGAGAGCAGTTGGATTTATTTCTTCATTGAAGTAAGTGTGAAGAGTTGCCAAAATATCCTAAATTTTCTCACCTCGGCCTGCATCCTTGACACCACAAAAACATCATTTTCCCCCTTGGTGGGGTCATGTGGATCTTACCAGAAGAACACATTTCAGAAGCTGAGCAGAGGCGATGTGGGGATGGGGAGCAGAAATTCCAATGTGCAAGTTTCTCTCAAGTCATATTAATATAATCCAGTTTCAGCAGTGCTTTTCTTCTGACAAAATAACTCTTCAATCCTCTGGCTTTTAAAATAAAGGCAAAACCATAGGTTGTTGGAATAGAGTTGTTTCTGAATGAGGAAAGCCACAGAGGCACAGGGAGTTGGGCACTGGGCTTAGTCAACAGAGCTTGACAGTCTCAGAGCTGTGAATGTGGACCTGAGGCTGGGTTAGGGTCCAGTCCAGGCTCGTACTTATCCATGGTTTGTTAGGTGCACATTAAACGCACAGTTTCTGTGATCTTTGAAAGTCACGCTACTCCATTAGGACCCGTGGGCTTTGCTCAAGTAGTGTCCTCTCGACCCTCTGCAGGGGAGCACAAAGTGATGGATGGCATTTGACTTGCATCCTTTCTTGCTGAGAGAGAGGAGGGCAAGCCTGGCATTTCAGAAGAGATCAACACAAAGTAGGATACGTTGTGCCAGAGAGAGCAGCCAAGCATGACTAATGTTTCCCTAAGGGACTTTACTGTGCATCCCCCACAGGTCCATGTTAGCTTGAGCGACACAGACGGCTGCCTGGAATCCCGGGCACCCATAGGGAAAGGCTGTAACCAGGTGCTTCTGGGAAAAATCTTCATTTTGGCCTTGGGGGAAAGGGGAGGTATGGGAGTCTTCCACATCTGAAAGCTGCTGATGCCGGTGGTATGAGTTTGAGCCAAAGAGACATTTATTCTCGTGTTTGTTTCAAGAAGTTCCAGACTCTGTACCTGAAGATATTTGCTGAAAGCTTACACTTGCTATGTCTGTGCAGAGACAATGACAGTGGGATCTGAGTGTTGGGAGTAAAGAAGAAGAACCCTGAAATGAAATTTTGCCTTCTTATAGAAGGAAGCAAATTAAAAGCTGTTTTCAATGTTTTTCCTCTCTCTCAGGTTAGAACACAATTCTCATTTGTCTTCAAGTTGTGTGCCTGACAGATACACGATTGAATTGTGTGGCTGCCAACTGCAGCCAATGCATTGACTTAACAAATGTCTCCAGACCATTTCTGTGGGCTGGGCACATGCAGTTGGGCCAGTGGTGCATGCTTGCAACCCCAGCGCTGAGGAGACACAGGCAGGAGGACTGTGAGCTCAAGGCCAGCCAAGGCTTACCTGAGCTATATGGTAAGACCCTGTCTGCAAAAGAGAAAGAGAGAAAGAAAAGAAAGGAAGAGAAAGAATAAAAGAAAGAAGGAAGGAGGAGAGAGGGGAAGAGGAAGAAAGGAAGGAAAGGAAAGGAAGGGAAAGAAGGAAAGAAGGATGGAAGAAAGGAAGGAATGAAGGCAGACACATGCTAATATCAGATTATTCTTATATCTTGTAAAGACAAAATTAACCAAATAATGTAAGTGCAGTCTGCTGGAGGTTGTTTTGGGAGAGGTGGAGGTGGCACCAGCAGCATTCAGGGTGGGACGAGGGGTCCTTGGCCTCACAGTCAGAAAGCTTTCCTTAGTGAGGCAAACAGGAAAGAGGAGGGAGCTCCTGCCAGGGGAGAACATGCAGAATTTGGGAGTGAGGGCATGATGTATTCAGATCATTGGCATTTAGTCCACTTGGGCAGTAGTGGAAGAGGGCCTCCCTGCTGATTGAGGTGGCAGTAAAAGATTTGTTTTTTATCCCAAGGACAACAGAAAGCTGCTGACGGGATTTAAGCAGTGGCATGAGAGGCCCCCATCTCTACTTAGTGTCCTCCTAGCTGCTTGCTGTAAGGAGACAGCCCAGAGGGAGGCTGTGATGATGTTGTGGCCAGATAGCAAATGATAGGAGACTGAGACAGGTGGCCAAGGTGTAAATGAAGAGGCAGACAGATTAAAGAGCTATTTATAGACAGAATAGAAGAGATTTGGTGCCATAGGAGGTGGAGAAGGAGGAGATGACTTCCAAATTTTCTTGCAGGACTTACACCTGTGGAGAGCAAATATGGTGGTTGTCAGTCATTCTGTGTTGCCTCCACGGGGGATTATTTTTGATTACTTTATCCATTTTTTTATTGTGAAATTATAAAGAATAACATGGTACTTTGCATATCTTTATATCTAATCTTTGTTGGTAGCCTAGTTTAGAGACAAGGAACAGGTCTGAAGAAGTCTTGAGCAACTTGCTTGAGGTCATTTAAGTAGTCAGTGTCAGAGCTGGGGTGAAGGTCAGGTCTGCTCCATTGCAGAGTTTTTGCTCTTTCTACTCCAGAAATCTGCAGCACTCACAGCCAGTTTGGGATTTTAAGGACCCATTAAATGAAGAATCCATGATAAACATAAATATTCATCATCTTACTTGACATATGCCCAATCACCCTATGGTAGGTGTCGCTATGTTCCCTAACTTACAGACAATCTTGCCTGAGTTTCTATACCATGAGGAGATGTCATTACTGGACTTGTGGTTCCCAGTCTTCAGAAGTCAATCTCTTAACAATGATCTAAAACCTCAACAGAAAAATGTCTCCTGGAGTTGGATCGTGTACTATAGGCTGTGAGGCTCTGATTCCCTACAGGTGACTCAGCTCAGTGCATGCTGCATAGTTTAGGGAAGAAAATATGGAGGTGATTTTGTCCACAGGATAATATAAAGGGTTCTATGTGTATGTTCAAGTATATAAAAGTGTTTATTTGAAAGATATCTAAGTGGAATTTGAAAGTTTTACTTTCTGAGGGTAATTTTATTTTCTTCGTTTTGTACTTGGTCAGGGCAGTCTCTTGAAAATCCCTATATCCTGGCGACATTTAATGTAGTGACTGTTAAGGAATATACTGATAAAACCAAAACAGATAACTTGAGGGAAAGGAAATGTGACTATGTTTAACTTAAAGAGAAACAAAACACTCATAAAAATGTGAAATTCTAGTACTAGTACAACTTGCTTGAGTCCCCTATGCCTATCACTGTTTGAGAGTAAATTACCTTTATCACAAATGATGGGGACCATCTTGTGTTTCTCTGGGCTTCATGCCTAATTCTCCCCAGGAACTCTTGGTAAGCTGGAGGTCATGGGCTCCTACTCTTCATACCGTCCTACCAGTTTCTTCCTTGGAATTTCCCTTTCAGAATGGAACAAGGTTGGAGAGGAAATGAGTTTAGGAAGAACATAGTTTCCCTTGTGTTTTATGTAATCTGTCTCTCTCTCTTTCATTCTCCCACTGTCCCCTTTGTCTGTTATAGAGTGACTGCATTAGCCTATGGTTCCAGCAAAGGGTCATTTGGTAATTGCCATGGGATAGCTTAGGGAGATGCATTCATCCTTCCTGATGAACTATAAGAATAGTTTACCAAATGGCATTTCCATGTCTTACCTTCTAAAATACCCATTTTATAGCAAGGAAGATCAGGAAGTAGAATTTTTAAGTATTCCTGTGCTGTGCCTTTCTTTGTTTCAACTATATGACTGACAAACATTCACATTATATTGTCCTGCCAACATAGTAACATGTCATTGTGGATCACTGGAACCTCAAGATCACCATTTAGTGAAGTAAGTCCATGGCTGGGCTTCCTCAGGGCAGAGATATCTGTGAAGGATAGAAATCCATGGCTCTGGGACTTGAAGGGGGAGTGGTGGGAGATTTTGGAGAAGTGATTCAGGGTGAGGATAATTTTTTTCTGCTGCCTGCATTTTATTCACAACCACATTAGGGGATGATATATAGCATCCCAAGGTACTGTAGACATTACAGGGAAAATAACAAAATTTGACAATTGCATCTTGTTAAACATTTTTGTTTTTTGAGTTAATTGTATTCAGCCAACAAGGTTTTTGTCTACACAACCTAGAATTGCAGTTGCCTGAGAAAGAGGACCTAGGAAGATATAGAGTAGGTTCAAAGCAGTCAATTCTCGCATAACTTTCAGTTAGTTTCCGGAACCCCACAGAAGCAATTTATATAATAGAACTGGCTAGGGTGCCACTGTAGCCTGGGTTTTGACTATACTGTGCTGTTAAAGAACATGCCACGATCAGGGCATGAACTGCAAATTCTTCTTAAGAGCACATTCTCCAACAAACCAAACATTTCTAGCTCATAATACTTGAATTCATCTTCACACTGTTCTTTATTGTGCTATAAACTGTTTAGTATATACATGGAAGTATGAGATTAAAAGCTTATCTGGCTCAGATGGAATTGTCACAGTGAAATCCCCTCATTTTATTAATGTATGGTAATGCAAAAATAAAAGAATAACAATAAAAAAGAAAGCCTGTACCCATTACCCATCACTCCCCATTTCCAGGCTCCCTTCAGCCCCTGGTAATTATTAATCTGTATTCTGTGTCTATGGATTTGCTTATTCTAGAATTTCACATCATAGCTATCCTTATCTCAACTAGCAAAAACCCTTGTTGCTTCCTATTATTGCTTATACTCTCTCTACAACAAAATTAGAAATAAGGGCAAAATAGTTTCTGCTGGGTATTGAGGGGGAGGGGGAGAGGGCAGGGGCGAAGTGGGTGGTAAGGGAGGGGGTGGGGGCAGGGGGGAGAAATGACCCAAGCATTGTATGCACATATGAATAATAAAACAATAAAAATTAAAAAAAATAAAATAAAATAAATGAGAAAATTTTAAATTATTGAAAAAAAAAAGAATTTCACATCAATGAAATCAAACAATAGGTAGCCTTAAAAAAACTTACTGTGTTATTACATTTGGACAACTGTCTCTATTACTAGACTCTATCACAGGACCTATTCCTTTTAGTTTTTTTCTTACACAGATAGATAAATATCTGCTTACTATATGTCTATGTTTCTCTCTGTATATGGTCAATTATTTTCTACATGTCTCTGTCCATCCTGTCATATATCTGTAATGCACTGTACATGTGTATATAGCCACGTGGAAACAGCAGTCACAGTGTTAACACAGATTCTGTGACAGAATGTGCAGCGTCCACATAGGACAATAAGTAATGGAATTAAATAAATACTCTTTGGCTTTTAAGTGTGAGAATGCAAAAATTATCCCTAACTCCTCTACCCTGCCTTGTTAGTTTTCACTCTTTCTTCCTGGGAAACCACATTTTCTTGTCCTGTATAGGAGAAGCAGGCCATCAACCCCTACTCAGTCCATCAGAAACACTAGTTAGAAGTAGGACTGTCTCTTGCCTCTTTCATCTGAGCACAAATGAAAAGGGATGTGAGATGAACATTTGAAAGAATGTTTAAATGTCAATATATTTGCTATCCCTCTTAATTATCCCTCTCCTTTCTCCCTCCCCATCTGTCTTTAACACACAAACAGGCATGCTCATTTAAAGTGCTCTTTTCCTCTAGGAGGTGCTTTTTAGGAATATAAAAGTTGCTGAAGGTAGAGAAAAAAATTAGCAAACCTACATTCTGATTAACGTTGCAAACATGCATTGCTTTTCTTTTGAAAGTAGAGGTGAGAATCTCAAATGTGAAGTAGTGTAAGGGGCTCACATGAATTCCACTTAATCTCTTCTCTTTCACAGAGAAAATACCAGAGGAGAGAAATGAGAATTTATGTAAGTAAATATAGTAGAATGCAAAACCTACACCTGCCAGATATTTTCCAGAATTGTTGATCAATTCAACATTTCTGAATCACAAAGGAAGCATCAAAATTTAGTCTGAATATGTGCAAAGTATGGTAACTCAACTTTGTAAGTTTAAGAAAATATTTTTCACGTGTACACACCTATACTAGTTTATTCTCACTCTTTGAAGTTATTGACTGATATTAAGAAAAAATTAAATGGTATAAAACAGAGACTTACATTGTTAGTATTCATAGCCTCACACAATATGTAAATTTGAAGAAAAATTAAATGAGAAACATATTCTAGTACATTGACATACACTGTTGCCTGTTGTAGAAGAATAAATATATAATGGAATATTTTTGAGGTTGTTTTTAATTTATTCTTGGTAGAAGCTATTCTCCATTAATTTATCAACACAATTTGCCAATTGGAGTTTAGATTTAAATGTAGAAAAGGAAGGCTGCAGGTTTTTCAAGTGTTGTAGAATCATTTTCTCAGGTTCCCAATTATAATTATGGTTTGTTAGTTACTTATAAATGCTAAACAAAGGTTGACTTTGCTAACTGGATGAATTTACCCAAAATCTGGAGTACTGTCATTATCAGAGATAGAGTTATCTTTTTTCTTAGTAAAATTTTAACTTTTGTAACTACTATTTTGCTGAACTAAACTTTATAAATACAGAGATTGTATAAGTACACAGGAAGGAAATCCAAATTTCCTAATTGCCCTAGATGTGCAGTAAGAATCAAGCACAGAGAGAAAACATGAATCAAACATTAAGCCATTAAACTGTACCTAATAGGCATTTATTAAATGGACCTCATGAATGCAAACCATGCCCCATTTAAAATCTAACTGAAATGATTGCACATTTCATTAGGGAAGATAATTACCAATTTGTTCCTTCCACCCAAATTGTGTACATATGAGAAGCACCATCAGAAGTAAACAGTATTGCACTATAAGAAAAGGAATAAAGATGACCTATTTAAATGAGGTCAGTAGGGTAACAGATTTTCCTCCCATTTTCTTTGCCTTTTTTTGAGAATTGAGAGTTCTAAAAACAATTTCTAATTTTATAGCACAACCTAATGTAAAAAATGTATTCTTTCTCTATAATTTTCCCCAATGCATTCAAAGTCAGTTTCTTAAGGTTGAGAACAAATTCATACTTAAAATACTTAGATAACTCACAATATGAATATTCAGTGTCCCTATTTATACAGAAATGCTATGTGTTCAATTCCCAAATCTCTGTTTGGTAATGAGGAGAGGAACTGGTGCTCTTGGTCTAGTTTTGCAACTGAACAGCCATGCAACTTGGATAAACAGAAGCCCTCTTCTTTTGTAAGTTAAGAGGATCAGAAGATTTCTGCACTCTTTCAGTTTAAAACAACTTTATTATTCTGTTGGGAAATACTAGTTTTTCATGTTCACAGCAGTGGCATATTCGCTGCTTGGTAATTTCTTACCTGAAGATTTGCATATTGATTTCTTAAACAGTTGACATCTGCAAACATTTATTTTTCTTCTTGATAGGAGAGGGTTTGCATATGTCAAAATTAATTCCATTTGTCTTCTTGAGAATTAAATGTGATTTTTTCTTGCTCTACCTCCTCCTTATTGCACATAATCAGAAATGCCCTCAGAGTCTACGGAATGGTTAAAACATTTCCACACTCTTGTGACAGTCTCTTCGGAGTCTTTCTTACTCTTTACTTCTCTAATTTCTAGCTTCAACCTGGGTAAGCAGAAAGTGCCATTTTGCTTTAACTAAGCCCCAAGTTTTCTTTCCTGCTCTTGTCCCTCAAATCTGTAAGTTAAAACACCATTTTGCTTTGTGTCATCAATTTCTTTATGCACTGTCTTTTTTTTTTTAAAATAAGATCAGTCCAGCCTTTTCAATATGGGTGATTTCTTATAGTTTAGGTTTTTTTCTATGAAAAAAGGCAGTGTTCCCTCTGGAGTGGGAGATGGGGACAAAGCAGAGCTGTTCAGGGTAGTGGGAAGACATTTAGATCACTAGTAGGTAGCATCATGGGTGTTTGCAAATTGAAATTTTAAGGACTCTAAGAAGCTTTATTTTCTACCCCTAAACATTTCAGGGAGGTCTTGCCTGGGACAGTAACAGAAATCCTGAGGAATTGGAAACTGGTGTGGCATGCCACCCATCTGAAGGGGAGGAGGAATGAGGAGAGAGTGAAAGGAAGGACCTGAGAAGATTTCTTGCGAAAAAATACAAAACAGTAAGTAAAGATAATATTTATGCCAAAAGGGAAAATTTTGGTATAATGAAGATAGCATGCACTAGTAGATGAAGTTGCTATTCTAAAAATAATTTCTTTGTAAGTTTCGCATATCTAGAAATGGTATGAGAACACACACAAAGATGGGTGTATGTGAGGTCACTACTGATTTATTTGTAACAGTCTTGAATATGAAGCTATTACCAGAAAGTCAAAAGGATTAACAATAAAAAGACCAATGTCACTTTTAGTTCTTCAAGCTTCAGTTTTAGAATGTGCTGACTTTTTATGTGGGAAGTATCTTTAAATTATGAGTATTTCATTTTCATAAATATTGAAAATTCTTTAGCTCTATCAGATTTTAAAAATAACATGTTGGAAATTATGACTTCTAACAGCAAGTTTTACCTTTGTTTCCCAGTCTTGTGCTATCTGATTTTCCTTCTCTAATCCTGTGTGCATATTCCCAGTATTTAGGATGAGTTTCCTCACCAGTCATTGACCCACCCAATGGCTCAGGGAAAGGACATTGAATTTATACTGATCATCTATTCTATTCAGTTCTGATTTTTATTGCTGGACCTTGAGGATTCCAGATGTTTATTATACAATTTCTTATTTTCAGTTAAAGGACCACTGTCTATGAACTTAAAAACCTGGGTTTTGATTTTTTGATATTATTGTCTTTAAAGTCTTTAAAACATTTTTATTCTTTTCTCTTCTGTGTAATCAATAGCAGATGCAATCAATGAGCAATGTTTGATGCTAGTTTCTTCATAGCACATTTAATCTTGTGTTTCCTGACTTTAATTTTGTGGGCAGACTTTTCACATGAAAGACCATCATCCAGCCACTTTCTGGAGGATGGTGGTTGGAAGAAGTTGGTTGAGAACATGTGGAAACATGCCTTTTGAAGCATTTTGGTGATGGAGTTAAGGCAAACAAGAAGAGACTGAAAACTAAAAATGATAATAGAAAGAAACATGATTTTAGGTGTATGATTTGGCACTTGCACTTAACACACAGCTGAAACCCAGGAACAGGGACACCTCAGAAAGGAAGACTTTAACACATATACTAAAATGAAAACATTAAGGTTATGAAGAATTGGTTAGATGACTTAAGTCAATGAGGTTTTGTTATTGTGATATCATATCTGAATATTTTTATCAAGATTATAGAATTATAATTAAATGTTTAAATGTTCTAGAAGTTTGTCAAAATAACTCGTGCCTTAACAAACACCCCCTAATCTTTTATTTAATAAGGTAAATAGCAAATCCTTAATTTATGTGTTTTCATATTTTATGGCTCCATGGAAACTGAGGCAAGGAGATGGTGTGCCTTCTACAAAGTCAAAAGTAAATTGCTTTAAAATTCAGAAAAATTCCAGAATATACTAGACCAACTTCTAAAATTAAACTTGGTCTTTCTACCTAGAGAACTCCAAATATGGGGAATGGGCTCCTTCGAGGAAACCCCTTTAGGAAGGTGCTAATAAGTGGCCCAGCTATGATGGCAAACCAAATGTTAGCATTCAGTGACTTTATATAGCAAATGTTCATGGAATATAAAGTCTTTCCAGCTGATTTGGTGCCTTCCATTGCAGATAAGGAGGAGTGCATCCCATAGCTGTGTGTGTCTAGTTCCTAGAACAGTGGCTGGCACTTGGAACGTGTTCAGTTCACATTTGTTGAACAAGTGAAAGTCACATCTAGATTCTCTGTCTCATTCTCTCTTGCTGGCTTTTACAATTGTGGATTAGTGTGTGTGTATATGAGGATTCCAAAATGATTTGCGATAGTTGTCAAATTGCACACGCTTAGATTTTCTATTTCAGAGCAATTTATGGCTCTTTCTAAGCAAAAATAAATTAGAAAGTGAAATGCTGAGTATATTTTCCTTTTGCTGAAATACAATTGAGTGCCTTTAATGGAGACCCTATTCTCCGTATGAGTGGGTGTCTTAGTCCATTTTTTGGTATAACATTTTTTGCTATAACAAAACAGATGAGACTGGGTAATTTATAGAGTAGAAGTTTATTTGGCTTCTCATTCTTGGGACTGAGAAGTCTAAGAGCACATCATCAGCATGTGTTTGACATCTGTTGAAGATTTTTCTGCTACATCCTAACATGGCGAGGGGCCTTATATGGGAAGGTGGTGCAAGCATGGTAATTTGGGTTTCTCTTTTTCTTGTAATGCCACCATCAGATCCCACTCTCACCAGTTCATATAATCCTAATGATCTTCCTAAGGCCTCACCTCCAAGTACTGTAATATGACATTTGGTTAAGTTTCCAACACATGAACCTTTGTGGAATACATTCAAACCATTTTCTTGCGGAACAAACAGCTCAGATTTTCTGATGTCTTAGAGGTCTGAGGACAGGAACAATGAATGAGCAATCACAAACCAAATATGTGTCATGAGAAAGTGTTTTACAAGCCAATAACTGGAAGACTTGAATGTGCTTATTAGAAACCTACTGATTAATTTGTCTTCCTTGGAGTCTAATATCACTGTAGGGAGTAGTTTTCAAGCATTATATCTTATCATAGTTCATGAAAGTATTTAAGAAAATGATGTGCCCCTCATTCCTTTATGAATTGAAATTTCAACTTACCCATCATAAATTTAAATAGCTGCATAGAATGTAATTTTCAGAATACTACCAATATTTGCATTTAAAAGTAAAATTATGTCACATTTTTACATATCCAATCTTATCAAAATATGCTAGTGTTTGAGTACTATCTTGCTCATTACAATAAAGTAACAAACCAGATATGGTGGTGCACAGTTGTAATCCCAGAATTTAGAAGGTTGAGGCTATATAGTGAGCCTTAGCTACATAGGAAAAACCTGTTCTCAAAAATCAAACAAACAGAGACGAAAGAAAAGAAGTCCTAAACAAAATTCTGTTTTCATTTTTCCTGTGATAATAAACTTAATCATGCATACCCTAATTTGATAATGTTTTAAAGTCATTTATTCATCATCCTGAATTTAATTAAAAAGTTCCTTTGACTTAACTGCTAAAATATTAAGCCATTTTAAAGTTATGAATCTAATTATCTTTCATGCAGAATTTATCAAAAGAACACAAATATAAATTTGGATAAACCATTAAATATTAAAAATAAAAAATTTGAATGTCTTAAGGAAATAGACAGATCCCATTTCTCTAATTAGTTTATAACTCTGTAGCTGAACATTGTTTGTTGCTCCAGTGAGGAAGGACCCAGAACCGACTTTAATCTCAATTTTTACTTTTATGAATGTATGTGCTAAGGAACTGTGGAAATGGGATTTTCTTATTATAACAATGTCACTACTTTTTGAATCTTTTCAAGTTATATGCCAACAACCACTAGGTCATTTATCAGCAAAATCCATATTTAATGATTTGTCATCCACAGTTGTGATGTCTCCTCAATTTTATTAAAAGCAAAACATTTAGACATACTTGACTTGTAGGATATTACCCATCATTGAAGCTATTCATATTCTTAACATCCAACACCAAAATTTCAATATTTCCTCGTTTGTACCTCAGAAGTTTTTACACACAAAGATGAACGTATTTGTTCCTTTCGTGAAATAGGGACAGAGAGATTGTGAAAGAGGAATCAAGACAGCTGATTCTGAATGATGACTTACGTCAGTAAGAATGCAGGCAAAAAACCTTAGCAAAGGGTACATATGGTTGGCAGACTTGGAGACTTGCTTCCTCAAACTGACCATTTCCACACACTACTTTGGGAAAGTCCTCATGTGCCCTGTGGCTATTTGTGCTCCTATGTGAAGGCAACTGCATTAAGGTGTCAAGACAACTAAATTCAATTACAGACAGCTAGTAATAAAATAGCAGGTATTGGTTGGGTCTTTTATTCACATCAACAATCCATTATATTTAATGTGAGAACTTGAAGGATAAGGCACTTTCCACTTTCTTTATGAATGTCCCCTTGTGCCTCTTATAAGAAGCAAAATATTTTCAATGGGTCAATAGAATACATGGCAAATATAATACATATCCAAAGACATTATAGTTACAAGTTCAATAAATGTGCCATGAACACACTGGGATCATTGTGTGGCTCTAAATTAACAGCTCCATTTATAAGATGAAGACTGCTGTAAAATTGTATTTCCTATAGGAAAAGAATGATAAGATTCTATGAGTTCGGATATCAAAGCTGGAGTAAAATGGAATATGCTTTTACCTCCAGAGAGGTCTCATGGATACTGTGGCGTCTTACAGAAAAAGGAAACATGTCTAGATATTGAAATCATTTCATATTGAAGGGATAAAGAGAGATTAAATATAATTAAGCCTATATCACTATGTCTAATAATGATCCAGTGTTCTATAAAAAAGACAACCAGAAGTGAGTTTCTTCCCCAGTAATTTGCATTTGGCCCTGACACAATTCTTGGTACTCACCTTTGAATATGCATGGGTTCATTTCATCTCTCAGGTCCTCAGTTTGTTCATGTGTCAGATTTTAACCTTGTAGTTTGAACTGTTTCTACCAGGCTTTGATGCTGTTGAAATTTATGCTTCAAATGGTAATGAAAGTAAATTGTGGCTTTTGTTTTTAATCTCCATAGATTTCTATATTATTTAAAACTCAAACTCCTTCTTACAGGTCACTGTAGGGAAAATACAAGTGAAACCAATACTCTCTTCTCTTGGCTTAATAAATGCTCGATGATGGCTTGCTTCCCATGTTTATAAGTTGATTTAGATTGCAAGAATAAAAAACTTTATAATTTCTCTTAAATACAAATAAAAACAAAACATTTATAATTACTATCAGGGTTTGATATGGTGTAGGAGTAGATTGACTTAGATTTAGTTCTGATGGAGAGATAGGGGTGTGATGATCACATCTCAGTTGGAAGAATACTGGCTGCTTCCAGAGACAGTTCCTCTCCCTCCCCACTCTAATATCTCAAGGTGACATCCCAAAGGACTTCTCCCCTTCAGGCTT